AGTATATAGCCTGTAATAATAGCTAACATTTATTAGCTGTGCTTACAGTGTGAGCCAGGTACTTTTTATTCTAAGTACTTAACATATACTCTCATTTTAAAACCTCCGAATGACTCTATGAGGTTGATATTTTGTTATTCCCATTGTTATAGATGAGGAAACAGAGGCATGGGCTAGAGGCTAAGTATCTTGTCCAAGATAACACAGCTAATAAAGTGGTGAGGCCAAGGTTTGAACACAGTCTCTCCTTACAGAGTCTGAAGGGTTACTGCTGAATTCCTTTCTTCAAAAATGCCTCATGTGATTTAACATGCCTTATTTCATTGTGTACATTAAAGGCCCTTTGTTTATACATTAATCTATATTTCCCTGTTGGCCAATACATTGTATAAATTATGTATATGTATAAATTATGACTTGTAAATGACTGTTGGATGATTTATTCTACATGCTTACATGGGAGTATTTTGAAAAGCAATGATTGCATTAATATAATGAGTGCTTGATGTAGCAAGATCGTTCCTATATATTGTGGAACTCTCAATTTTAATATTTACTGACTCCATTATCCATCTTAAAATGAGCATATTGGAAAGGGTAAGGAATAAATAATTGATTAGGGACTTTAATTACATTTGCAAAAATCTCTCTACCTTTGCCAAAGAACTTAATCTAATCACAAATATGAAATCCCATGATATCTACACTTAAAGGAAGGGGATTACGCAGGATATGTTTGCCAAGAGGTAGGAATCTTGGGTACCATCTCAGAACTGCCTACCACATCTACTGTAGATCCCTTCCCACAACCAAACCACATGAGTAAAAACCTCATGCAACACTGGCATTAACTTTATTTCTTAATTGTAATTTTGTTAGAATTCTATTCAGTGTACAGAATCTGGATTATTGATTCTTTGAAAGAGTATTCTTTTGAAATGTTTTAATGAAAAGTAAAAAACCATAAAACATGTCTACACCCGCTGTACAGACTGAACAAATCCTCCACGGATCTTTTTTTTCAAAGAAATCATTACGGTTGAGAGTTCATTGTATCCTCCCCAATTCCATCCTCTCTTTCCCTCCTCAGAGATAATCACTAATTTGAGCCTACTTTTAGTCCATGCCTTTATAAATCTGCTACACGTTTCTATCCATTAAAAGGTCTTATGCTGTTTGTGCCTGAAAATTTAACTCATACGGTATCAGCCTGGTTGTACTGTCTTGCAACTTGCTTTGTATTTCTGAAATGTTTTCTTTGTGTTTTTGAGATATATTAATACTACTACAAGTAGATCCAGTTCATTCAAAGTGCTTGCCTCTTTGGTTGCTAGAAAAAGTCAGCAATATTCAGCAAAATTGACAAGGATTGGAACATTTAACAGTTGGCTGATAGTCAAGAGGCAAGTCTATCTTAACAGTCAAAGTAGTATTACTCAGTGTTTTTAAAAGATGATGTTTAATGTGGGGGAAATGCTTATGATGTAATATTAAATGAAAAGTACCTTTAAAAAAAATCATAAGCTACAACATAGATGTACCTTGAAAACATGCTAAGTGAAAGAAGCCAGATATAAAAGACTGCATCTTATATGATCACATTTATATGAAATGCCAGATTTGGCAAATCCATAGAGACAGAAAAGTAGATTAGTGGTTACCAGGAGCTCTTGGGGGTAAGGGGAAGTGGAAATGACTAACAGGTATGGAATTTTTGGGGGTGATAGAAATACTGGAACTAGACATTGGTGGCAGTTGTACAACATTGTTATGTTAAAAGACCATGGAATTATATACTTTAAAATGGTAAATTTTATGTTCAATGAATTTGATCTCAATAAAAGCATATTTTAAAACTCCATATATAGCTATTAAAAATTATGAGATATTTCAGAATACAGATTTTAAATGTTTAAAATTATAAGAGATAATATATGAGAGAATTCACTTGAAATGTTTAGTGCAAGGCCTGACATATAGTATGCGTTCACTATATCTAAGACAGGTCTCAGTTAATTTAGGAAGTTTATTTTGCCTCAGGAGGTCCTGAGGACATGTGCCCAAGGTGGTGAGGGCACAGCTTGGCTTTAAACATTTTAGGAAGATATGAGACATCAGTGTGTGTAAGATTTACATTGGTTCAGCCCAGAAAAGGTGGGACAACTTGAGGCAGGGAGGGAGCTTCCAGGTCACAGTTAGGTATGAGACAAATGGCTGCATTCTTTTGAGTTTCTGATTAGCCTTTCCAAAGGAGGCAATCAGATATTGCAATAATCAGAGATACGCGATTATTTCTGTGAGCAGAGGGATGACTTTGAATAGAATGAGAGGCAGGTTTGCCCTCAGCAGTTGCCAGCTTGACTTTTCCCTTTAGCTTAGTGATTCTGGGGCCCCAATATTTATTTTCCTTTCACAACTGCCATAGTATAAGAAAAAGTGGAAACAATGCAACCTTGCATATATTAGAGTTGGCGTGTTTGTGGATGAGTTTTTGCATTTATTTTTATTTCAGGTAGAGCTGTGACAGTATATTGCCAGTATAGCAAATACTTTATTTAAAGGATTTGAAAACAAAAAATAAAAGCTTTACACACTCTGGCATCTGTGTTTTCAGCCAGAATTCCTGTGAAGAGCCTGTATTGGTGAAGCTAGTCAGCTCTTTAGGAATGCAAAAAGAGATGAGAAGGAGGTACAGATAGTACAGCATAAGGACAGGATGGAGAAACTATCTTTCTGTTTATCCACAGAATGCATGTAGTCATTTGTCAATAAGTGTTCATTATATACTTATTTACTCATATCAACATTCATCTTAGATTAGCTCCCAAAGGGCAAAAAGGCACATAATTAGGCACATAATTAATTTGCTTAATGTAGTGCCTAGCATGATGAGATGGCTAGATATCTGTTTCAGTGGTAATTAAAAATATCTTTTCCTTTGCCAGTAATTCTTATTTAATCAAGTCAGAATTAATTTTTGTACCAGAGAACTACTCTATGGCTTTCATTTTAAAAGCCATGTATGATTTTAATATCTTTTCTGCAAATACCCTAAAAGAAAAACAATGTTGTTTTCATAGATCTTAATCAAATGCAGTTCAACTACTATTCCCGGGTGAATTTTATAACTGGAAAATTTGTGTGTGCCTAAGTACAAGGACTGGTTAGGACCTGGAAATAATGAGAGAGAGACAGAGAGACTGATGTAATGATATGTGACTTTTTTGTTCTTTTCTAATTTCCAGTATTGTTTCCTGAGCAGCATTTTTTTTTTTTAATAAACTTAGAAACAAAAAAAAAACAAATCACCTCAGAACCTCTGAGACAAGGCTGTGGGCTGGCAGTTGTTTTTTGAGACAATATGGAAGAAATGACATTCTGTACATCTTCTGTTTTAAACTTTCATCTTTGAACTTGAAGAATCCCTAGCTGAGATCTTGGCTGCTTTCCTCCTATGTTTCTTTCTTCGTGTTTTACCAACTTACTTATATTTAGCATAAAAGCTGGAGAAAGTGATAGGGGCAAGGAGACAGGGAAATTCTGGGCAGAAGAGGGCAGTCGCCAGCAAGGGCCTCACTCTGAATCCTAGATCCACAGCCCAAAGTGAGAACATGCATTATTGTTTTCTTGCTGGAATGTTGCCTTTTCCAAGACCACCCATGGCCCACCCACCCGCCATCCTGTGCCCATAAAAACTCTAGGCTTCAACAGCAGAGAGAGGAGAAGAGGAGAAGCCGCTGGACAGTAGAGAAGCAGTTTGACTTCAGAGGGATGGCTTGACAGTGTTGCCTCGGGGAGGAGTCTGGCCAGGAATGGCTGGACTCTAGGGGAAGATTATCTTCCCGCTCCATCCCTTTTTCAGCTCCCCTTCCCATTGAGAGCTACTTTCATCACTGGCAATAAAATCCTCCATATTCACCACCCTTAAATTCGTTCGTGTAACCTGATTTTTCCTGAACACCGAACAAGAGCTTGGGTGCTATAAGGATGCTAAAGCCTGTCACCCTGACCCTCTACCCTCGGTGGAGAGCAACTGTCTCATGTGAAAAGGCAGAGGGCCCACTGAACTGTTAACATGTGAGCCATCCATGGATGGCAAAAGCTAAAAGAGCACTGATTGAAACACATGCCCTCTGGGGCTTCAGGAGTAGTGGACACGCTCTCGCTGCCTCAAGACTCTGCAGGGAGTTCACTCCGGCCAGTGCCCAAAAGCACTCGCCCCCCAGCTCCTGCACCTGCTCAACTGCGGACTCCTTCCTGCAAGAGGTGAAGTGCAATGGGTCCAAGTAAGTGGAGTTTGCCCCTGCCAGTGCCAAAGCGGCCAGCTAGATCCTGCACTCCAGTTGCCACCTGCAAAGGTGTCAGGGAAATTTCCTGCTTCAAAAGCACAGACAGCTTTCTTGAAAATGAGATATGAAATAATGTAATCTCATTTTAAAGTTGAGGACATTAAGGCTCAGAGGTGATTAGAGGCATTAGAAGGGACTTCTGAAGGTAGCTCATCTAACCCTTGACAGTAGGAGAAGTTAAAGTTATAGCCCAGGTTCCAAACCTCACAATTGGGAGAACCAGACTTGAGCCTGCTTGTCTAATACCGGTGTCCTTCTCAAGCTTCCCAAGCATCTGCTTGGGATCACCTTGCCTTGTGGCAGGATGGAAGCCCAAGAATGGTGTCCTGCATCCATTGCTGAGGCTTCAGGGGTCCAGGTACTTAGTTTACCTTTGGGAATTCCTTATTGGCCCTGCTGAAGTCCTTCCTGCTATACCATTGAGGGAAACTGTTGATCTTGTCAACCTGAAATAATCAAAAGGATCTGAATCCAGTTTTAAAGAATTTATTCAGGTAAAAAGCTGGGAATGGCCATCCAAGAAACACGGACCCCAGAGAAATGGGGTCAGTGCTTCGAAGTTAAAAGTTAAGTACTTGCTTACGTATAGCAAACAAAGTTTAGTAGGATTGTAATATTTTCTATACAAGGCTGGTTTATGTGTAACAATTTAATTAGCTTATTTTCTTTTCCATACAGCTTTTCATTTCCTTTCCAATTTAAAAGTGAGTATTTAACATTCCATCCTAGACAGTGTGATAATCATGAAACCTTTGTGTGAAAGAGGAAACAGGGAGGTTAATCTATAATGAAGATCCACACTTAGAAGGAAGGGGTCTTCCCTGGCACCCTTTAGTCATTTACAATGTTTTACAAAACAATGTAGGTAAGGAAAAGGCTAATCTATAATCAGATAAACAAATAGCTGTCTATTTGTTCCATTCAAGTTCCTAATCACATTCTCTTAAAGCTCAAAATAAAGTTTCAACAGCTGATATTCTGAATTACTTATTTTCACAATCTTCACCTTTCTTAGTTCTGGGAGTGGCCCTACCACGTGGGCCTGGCCTGCATACTCCCAGAAGGGCAGTTCTTCCTAGCAGCCTTTGACTTTGGGGACCTTTCTGTAATCCTTAATCCAGCCCAAGGTTCTGACTCTGTTAATGGGTAAAGAAAGGTTATGCCCTATGAGACTCTGACCTCCTTTGGGATCTGGAAAATCTTCTGGTGATTTTCCTTGTCCCAAATCTGCTGTTTCCAAATTTGCCTGAAACCAAGATAAAGCACAGCAATTTACAAGGCATAATGCCTAGGTGAGGTCATTCACTGGCCATTTCTTGTACTTGAGGGTCACAGAGTGACATTGCTGACTCTCTCAACTTCATTTCCAGCACCAGATTGGTAGTTCTGTTCTTCGGAAGGAAGGAAGGAAAGAAGGAAGGAAGGAAAGGAAAGGAAAGGAAGGGAGGGAGGGAGGGAAAAAGAAAAGAAAGAGAAAGAAAGAAAAAGAAAATAAGAAAGATTGGAGTACAATTTGTGGCACTCAATTTCAAGAACCAGCTTGATAGAAAGTTGTAATTGCCAAATACAGTAACCTACTTAGGGTGCATGTCAATGTTGATTGCTTTCAAACGACTGTACCTTGCAACTCTTTTATTTCTCCCTTTAAAAAATATCCTGTATCTGACTGAAGGCTGAAAAATAGCAAGTACATATCTTTCTAACGACCCTACATTAATTTAGTATAGAGATAATTAGAGGCAAAGTTAATCATTAGTAAGATAAGCCCTGAGATTGCAGCACATGGGCTTCTTTTGCTACTCAACAGAGTCCTTTTGTGTCTAGTTTTTTGAGCACAGACAAATCTTTATTTTCTATGTACTGAGCTTTCTTTGACATACAAGCCAAAAATTTACTTGAAGCAACCTGAATAGTGTGAGAGAGAATGTTTGTTTTTTAAAGTCCTGAGAATTACAGAGCATCCTTAGGGCATAATACAGGTATGTTCATCTAGAACAGCTGAACATAGGCAGTTAATAAAGCAGGAAGTGAGCACATTGTGCTTTTTAGATTTACTTAAAATATTTTGAATTATTGGTGCTCTTATCCATTCAAGAGTCTCTAACACTAGGGTTGTAAAATAGAAACAAAATAGCATTGACAATAGAGTTTTGTTTCATCTTTGTCTTAGGAAATTTGGGAAATGTTTATGTGCATATGCTTGTTCCAAAATATTTTAAAATTCTGTATTCACAATGCAGTAGGGTGTAAATACTACTGAATCACCAGAAATGCCTACAGTAGTGTGTGCACAAAATAGAGATCAAGGCAAAGGTAGAATATATAGAGAAATAAAATTAAGCTAAGGATAAGGTTAGTATACAAAATGCATCTTGTGAGGTTCATCTGTTCGGTCTACTAGTGGGCATGGTAAGGATGCCTGAATTTAAATGAAAATTCTAATACTAATTATAATTCACATATCATTTTATTGCTCTATAATTTTTAACTGTGCCCAAACAACTCTTGGTATTCACATACTAATTACTTGAGTTTGTAGATTCACATATCTAGTGATATCCTCCTTGAATCTTTCTGCCATCAGAGGCTGATGAAGGAAAAAGATGCAAAAGTCATCCTATTTATTTTTTGCCTTAAAATACAGGTGTATCATCTACAACCATTTGATCTCTGACAAACCTGACAAAAACAAGCAATGGGTAAAGATTCCATATTTAATAAATGGTGTTGGGAAAACTGGCTAGCCATATGCAGAAAGCTGAAACTGGATCCCTTCCTTAAACACCTTATACAAAAATTAATGCCAAATAGATTAAAGATTTAAACATAAGACCTAACACCATAAAAACCTTAGAAGAAAACCTAGGCAATACCATTCAGAACATAGGCATGAGCAAGGATTTCATGACTAAAATACCAAAAGCAATGGCAACAAAACCCAAAATAGACAAATAGGATCTAATTAAACTGAAGAGCTTCTGCATAGCAAAAGAAACTATCATTAAAGTGAACTGGCAACCAACAGAATGGAGAAAAAAATTTTTTTTTGCAATCTACTTATCTGACAAAGGACTAATACCCAAAATCTACAAAGAACTTAAATTTACAGGGGGAAAAAAAAAAAAAAACATCAAAAAGTGGCCAAAGGAAATGAACAGACACTTCTCAAAAGGAGACATTTATGCAGCCAAGAAACATATAAACACATGAAAAAAGGGTCATCATCACTGGTCACTAGAGAAATGCAATTCAAAACCACAATGAGATACCATCTTACACCAGTTAGAATGGCAATCATTAAAAAAATCAGGAGACAACAGATGCTGGAGAGCATGTGGAGAAATAGGAATGTTTTACACTGCTGGTGGGAGTATAAATTAGTTCAACCACTGTGGAAGACAGTGTGGCGATTTCTTAAGGATTTAGAACTAGAAATACCATTTGACCCAGCAATTTGATTACTGGGTATATACCCAATGGATTATAAATCATTCTATTACAAAGACACATTCACATGTATGTTTATTGCAGCACTGTTCACAATAGCAAAGACTTGGAACCAAGCCAAATGCCCATCAATGATAGACTGGATAAAGAAAATGTGGCACATATACATCATGGAATAGTATACAGCCTTAAAAAAGGATGAGTTCATGTTCTTTGCAGGGACATGGATGACGCCAGAAACCATCATTCTCAGCAAACTGACACAAGAACAGAAAACCAAACACCATACGTTCCCACTCATAAGTGGGCACTGAACAATGAGAACACATGGACACAGGGAGGGGAACATCACACACCAGGCCCTGTTGTGTGATGCAGGGCTAGGGGAGGGATAACATTAGGAGAAATACCCAATGTAGATGATGGGGTGATGGATGCCGCAAACCACCATGGTACATGTATTCCTACGTAACAAACCTGCACATTCTGCACATGTACCCCAGAACTTAAAGTATAATAATAATAAAATGTGGGTGTGTGTATTGGGAGAAAGAAAGGGTAAAGCAGTTAGATGCTATTAGAGCTATTTGGAAGAGAATAAAGAAGAAATTAAAAATTTGTGATTTTTAGTTATCAAAGTCATTAAATTATGTTATCCATACAACTGCAGAATTTCAATATGGGCATCTTGTTAAGAGAAAGCTTTCAGAGAATGTTAACATTTCTTAATAGTAAACACATCCCTACACTCACATATTACAAGTCTTCATGTATAAGGTACTCAAGATCAGAAACTTTGTAAAAAAGCCTTTTAATCAGATAAATTTGAACATATCATTCTCTAGAAATAACTGAAAAGAGTGTAAAACATTATAGAACAGTCATTTGATAATATGGTAAATATATCAAATCAAAAGGATATAGTCCTCTTAAAATTATAAAAGTTGCATAAACAGGAAGGATTATACAAACATGCCATAAAAAGTACTTATAATAAAAATATGAGAAAAACACAAACTGATATGTAAACTATAAAATATGTAAAATAGCCAATAGTGGTGGTTCATACCTATAATCCCTGCACTTTAGAAGGTTGAGGTAGGTGAATCACTTGAGGCCAGGAGTTTGAGACCAGCCTGGACAACATGATGAAACCCTATCTCTACAAAAAAAAAAAAAAAGAAAAAAAAAAAAAAGAAAAGAAAAAGAAAAATTAGCTGGACATAGTGGTGTGCATATAGTCCTAGCTACTTAGAAGGCTGAGGTGGGAGGATAGCTCTAGCCTGGGAGGTGGAGACTGCAGTGAGCCGAGATGGAACCACTGCACTCTGGCCAGGGTGACAAAGCGAGCCCCTATCTCAATAAAAATAAATAATAAAATAAAATTTGTAAACTATCTCTGCAGGTAGACAAAGGTGGTATATAAAAGCAAAAGAGTTATATTGGATTGACTAAGATGATGAATTTTTTTAAGCATTCTTTGATATTTTGTCATTATAATAAGTATAATTGATGAGGAAGAAATGACAACAAAGCTTTCATGTGTAGAATACTTTTTATAGATTTACTGAATAATGTGTACTTTCTGTTCACTACCTTTTAAAATGTAACTTTAAGTCGAAATTTTACAGACTCATGGGAGATAATCTAAACTATTTTTCTTGCCATTAAAATGTGCATTTTGGGGTACTTTTTCCATAAAAATGGATACAGGAGAACTCAATAACGTTCCTCTTCTTTCCAACTCTTGTTTTTCTCAGGCATTACCACAGGAGTCTTGGTTCGAGAACACAGCAATCTCTCAAACCTGGAGAAATTCTACTTTGCTTTTCCTGGAGAAATTCTAATGCGGATGCTGAAACTCATCATTTTGCCGTTAATTATATCCAGCATGATTACAGGTACCTTGAGAAAACTGATGTTTTCTGTATTACTCCATTTTCCTACTGCTATAAAGAACTGCCTGAGACTGGTTAATTTATAAAGGAAAGAGGTTTAATTGACTCACGGTTAAGCATGGCTCAGAAGACCTCAGGAAACTTAGAATCATGGCGGAGGGCAGAGGAGAAGCAAGGCAAACTTATTCACAGGCGGCCGGAAGGAGAAATGCCTTATAAAACCATAAGATCTCGTGAGAACTCACTCACTATCACGGGAACAACACGAGAGAAACCGCCCTTATGATTCAATTACCTCCACCTGGTCTCTGCCTTGACACAATTATGGGGATTACAATTCAAGAGATTTCGGTGGGAACACAAAGCCTAACCATGTCATTTTCTATAATTATTTTAAAAACTTTCACCTAAGTTGTTCTTTTCTAATTATGGGAAAAATTGAAATGCATTAGATACATCACACACACACACACACACACACACACACACACACGTACACATATAATCTCTCTCTCTCTCTCTCTCTCTCTCTCACTCTCTCTCTCTCTCTCTCTCTCTCTCTCCCCTGCCCCCACCCCACCCGTCTTTCTCCACCTCTCTCCACCTGGAATGTCTATATTTGTTTCTCTGGAAACAGTTCGCTGTTCTCAACATGGCATTGCTTTGTCATATGCTGTACCTACAGCACTGTCCACCTCTGCTCAAATCTTTATTTGACCAGCATTTGATGCCTTGGGAGGAAAATGTCGTTTTCAAACATACTATAAACAAAACGCTATCTGTGCATAGAAGAAAAAAAAGGTATATTTGGTCACTGAAATGTTAGCTAGTGTCCTCAGGAAAAATATGGTTGTCAATTTTGATCATGTTTTCAGTCATTCACTCATTTACTTCCCAACTGCAGCTGTGCTGCCCCGAGCCTCTCAGCAGCTGCCTTCAAGATCTCTCTACTCCTCCCCTACTTTCTACTCAAACCCAGAACTTGCTATGTACGTGCCCTACATATTTGCTGTGGGGACCAGCAGTCAAGTTCACATTGCAGTGTTCCTTTAAAGACTAAGCTTCCTTATGTAGATAGAGATGGAATTTGGTTTACAAAAATGTCATTCGTCTGGGTGTGGTAAGTTTCTCCTCATTGCATAGTTTCTTGCACCTATCTTAACTCTGGTAATTGGTAAAACCTGGCATGACAGTAGCTGGTGTTGTTGGCTTGAAAATCAAGGTTTTTTGCAAACATGAAATTAGAAGTCGTGACATGTCCCCTTCTAGAACGTTTTTTCTCCACCGCCACTGTAAAGGCCCGGGACTAGACCTGGCAGAGTACTAGAAATTGGTGGGGGGAAGGAAGGGTGGGGGTCAGGATCTGCTGCATTCAGCAACTGCATTGCTTGAAGAGCTGTCGCATTTGGCCTTTGAATTTCCCAATCACCAAACTCCAAACAGACTAGAGTCCCTTGGGAGCTTTGTCTTTAATTGGTCTTGATGTTCTTGGCTTATGAAAAATATAAAGAGAATGTTTAATTATTTTATGAATATATTTAATTATGTTTGGAAATGCCTGTTTTTTTTAAGCCTAGCAGCCTGAGTGACACAGTAGTAAACCAATTGTTTGTCGCATATATTTGTTTGTTTAAATTGTCATAAGCATTCAAAATTGGAAAGATTTCATGTAAATATCCAGATTTCAGGCTTTCTTCTGTCAGGTCAGGGGTGAGGGGGATGAAGATCTGGGAACACTGGCCCAATATTTCCACCCACCAACAGTAGTCTGAAACCAAGAGAAAGCTACTCCATTTAGCTGGAGAAAATGCATTTGAGAATATCACAGTCTCCACCACTTCCTATTGTCCAATACCTTGTCCACTTCACTCTTACACTACCTGCCTGGCCCCTGTAAGGACGGCAGTTATAATCCCTTAGAATCTTCTCCATATCAAAGATTTAAAAAAATTTTTTTTTAAAAAATGGGGTCTTGCTATGTTGCCCAGGCTGGTTTCGAATTTCTGGGTTCAAGCAATCTACCCACTTTGGCCTGCCAAAGTGCTGGGAATATAGGCGTGAGCCACTGCACCCAGCCAAAGATTCTTAATCTTTTAGTGGGCTCCTTTGAGAATACAATGAAAGCTTTGGACTTCTTTTCAAGAAAAACATGCATAATTGTACATATATACTGTATTTTGCAGTGTTTATGCACAAGATGCATAAACCACCTGATAAGCAATACTATTTAACTCGTGTCTATGAGGGGAAATAAAGAAGCTTAATCCAAGTTATGCAGCAAACCCAAAACTCAGGTTTTAGAAGAAAAGGTAAAAATACATGTATTAATATACTAATTCTGTAATATCAGATGTTTGAAAATGCACACTACTCTTGTCAGTCAATAACAAATGAGTTGTTTTGTTTTGTTTTGTTTTGTTTTTTTCTGGGAAGTGTAGCTTCTGGCCAGAAGCCAGAAACAGGTACTTCCTCTAGTGAGATTTTTGCAGTCTGGATGTTTTGTGTGTTAGCTCAACCTTGCAAATAATCTAGGAAAATAATTTACAATTCAGCATTCCATTGACAGCCCAGCTACTTTTGAAGCTATAGTATGGGTCAGGTAGTTTCTCCACTTTTCCTTCACCAGATCCCAGCAGCCAGTCAAGAACTAGAGACAGCGAGCAAAATCACCACCCCATCTTTTGATGTGAGGCAATGAAATAGTCAAAGATTCAAGGGACATGAACAAAGCAGGGTGGGGACAATGATGGCATATTCATGTTTTAAATTGTCAGATTACAGGGGAAGAGCAACAAGACTCGTGTTAGCACAGTTACGGGAAAGTGAGTTCTTTCATATACTTTCAGTTACCATATAAAATTGGAACAAGCTTTCTAGAGGACAGTTTGGAGCATGTTCTAATCTCATCACCTAGTAATTCTGTTTCTCAGAATTAATCATAAAGAAATAAGCAGAGATAAGTTCAAACTCCTAAGTACAAGGATATTCATGGGAGCGTTTTTTTATAACGGTGATAAATTCTAAGCAACCTAAATGCATAGTATACATTTAGGTATACTATACCTAAATACAGTATACATTTGTGTATTTGCCTATAAACGTATAAATGTATGCTATGTATACAAATTTATATTATATACTACGTGTACATAGTATACATGTTTGAATACTAAGCAACTATTAAAAACTTGTTTTAGAATCATGTTTAATGACATGTGGAAACATTCCCAATACAGCATGAAATGGGAAAAGAAACCAAATTACACAACAGGATATTGTATACAATCCAAATTTTAGTAAAATTGGATAGAATACAATATCCTGTTGTGTATATACATTTTTTAAAGTTGTGATCAAAACCAAACGATTAACATTTTGATCTGGAAAGTAAAAAAACATGATCCTTTGGGCTTTCTTTACATTTTCAAATGAGCACGTGTTTTTGTTTGGTTTGTATTTTTAATGAAAGAGACGGAGATGGATTCTGCCCTGAGCTCCTCCAATTCTGCCTCTGGTCACTTCTCTGCCCCATGTCTACTCTCTGCCCATGCCAGCTCAGTGTCACCTTTACCTGGTATGTAGCTCCTCCCTCCAAACCCTGCAGTAGTCCTCAGCCTCCCCACAAAGAAGATGGCTGTGGAAAACATGCATGAAGGGCAGTTTCACATTGCAAACACCCTCATAAGTCTGCCAGGCTGGTAGCTTAATGTATACAGTTATTAGGCCGAAGGAGGATGCAGGTGGGAAGCTGGGGAGGGTTGAATGAGTCCCCTAAGGATACGTAAATTAGAAGCAGAAACACAGCTGGAATTCAGACCCAAGATTAATCATCTGTGCTCCTGCCTAAAGGAAACTCTCTTGCCAAATTCACAGGTAGAAAAAAATCCTGTCATCAAAGCCTCTGGTGAGATTTTTAAAATATTTTATAGGGTTTTTTTTTTTTTTTATAAACAGGAATAACCCCCTTTTACCTGATGGTAAAGTTAAGAAGTCATATTTACCACAGAAATTTGAATATAGACTGGCTATTAGATGGTATCAATAAATTGTTAATGATTTATTTAGAGATGATAATGGCATATAGTGGTATAAGAAGATGCCCTTACTTTTTAAATGCATATGGACTTATGAAATGACATAATGTCTCAAATTTACTTTAAAACAGAAAAAAAAAAAAAACCACACAAGAAATGGCACAGTCGATATAAAGTCAAGACATTTTCCAAGGTAGACTTTGTGGGTACTAATGGAATCCTACCCATAAATTACATCCTAAAGAACACACTCATGCCATGCCAAGGAATATCTGTGCTTAGGGTCTGCTAACACTTAGGCTTGTAAGTCACATTTATGTCAAACCACCAGAGAAATAACAGGAAATAGCTTATGAATATGTCTGAGAGTTGCAGCACTGGAAAAATCCTGATCCATGTCTCAGCAGCCAGTGAGTTTAAATTCAGGTCACATTTTCTTTAATACCTCTCAAAATTAAATTATCATGATTGGAGCCTCCAATGATCAGCACAGGAACAGAACAGCACCTCCAGTCCCACTCCCAGAGGTCCCCTGAGCATCCTTCCCTGATGCTCGTAACTTTGCTCCGGAAGAGGTTCCGGCTCTTCCACTTCAGCCTCTGCCACCCTTGCCTGGGTCAGCACTAGTGGGCACAGCTCCACCTCCTGTCTGCTACGGCTGCCACTACCCCTGTGACCTGAGGAGTTCCCGTCTTTGCTTCTCCATCCTAAGACAGGAGCAGAAGCTTCATTCTCCAAAGTGCAGCAAGACCACACTGCTACTTAGGACATAATCTTTGTTAAAGGTAAACCAAAAACAGATGAAACACCAATGGTGACATCCAGCTGTTCCGTAAGGGGCTCCCAGGGTCCCTTAAGAGGGATGCCCCTCTTCTTAGCTGCCAGCTTGCCTCTAGAAGGCTGGGACCAGCTCAAGGTGTTCAGAGAGTCCCTGCACCACAGATCCCAGAATCTGACACCAGGTTCTAA